TCTAATTCTGATGCAAAAGAGCCGAACAGGACCGGCAACAACAATAAAAACGTCATTGATCAGTAATAATCCGATCGAGTCGCTCACACAGGCCCAAGTTCTGCTGTCCATACACTGATCGCTTATTGTGATTGGTCTAATGCTGCTGGCTCCGCCCCATTCATGTGAACGTGCAGGTTAAACTCCTCATTGTACAGGAAGTGCTGCAACCATCCCAACATCCAATCACAGGACAGAGATTATCATTTCCCCTCTGTGTGTGTGTGTGTGTGTGTGTGTGTGTCAGCAATCAGCCAATAGCATTAATAGAAAATCTCTTGTTTAAAACAGTCGACCTCGATCAGAGTCAGCAGACATGAAGATCATTCAGAGAAAACCAGCCTCATCCCTGCTGCTCGCTCAGGTGTGCAGAAGTTAGTCTGACCCAACAGGTGCAGTTACAGGGCTGACACACTAGAGGGCGCCACGCAGAGCTGTGGGTCCGTCAGCCTCCTGCAGATTTGAGCTCTTCTACAATGTTTGTGGAAGTGTGTGAAGAAGATGCAGCAGGAAGCGAGTTTCTCACTTCATCATAAAGAGAGAGCGACCAGGGTGGCTGTAGGTGGAGCAGGTCACCTACTAATAAGAGGGCTGGTGGTTTGATCCCCACCCGCTCCGCCCACATGCATCCTTCCCCTCTGCGTTTACCAAACATCGCCTGCTGCAGTCCGACGCAGCGACACCTGAGCGACCCTCTCTACTCCCACCAACCTGAGCAGCTTTTATTTGACTCGTGTTTCTGACGTGAATCCACAAAACAAACAGATTCCAGATTCCCTCGTACGTCTGCCTCTCTCACCTGAGTCTGCAGCAGAGTCAGTGTGAGGTCAGGTGACCCACGGAGACGCCTTCAGCTCCGCACTGAGGGTCGTGTCAGCAGCTCGGATCGAGAAGTCGCTGCAGAAACGCACATTTTTACTTCCACATCGTCAAAACTGGAGTTAGAGATTGAGTCAGCGGGAGCGCTGAAAGATTTCTGCAGCGCCATCAAAACAGGAACGCCGAGGCCGCTGATCACACAGAATACCGGCCCTCAGTGTAAACTGAAACAGCTCAGCCACGTGTCCTGTCAAACAGCCATGAGGTCAAAGGTTAAGTTAGTGGGACTGAAGGATCCACGCATTGGACAGAGAAACCGAGGCTCCACCGCGAGTCGGCCGCATGGACTCAGGTGACCTCATGGTGCCACGTCCACCTCTTGTATACTAACTACGTGTCCACATACTTTTGGTACATTTTTCTTTTTTGTTTTCATCGCTCGCTCCGACTGATCGTGACCTCAGGACTGATTATTATTTATTAACCATTAACCTGGTTTAAAATTAAAACCTGAGCTCATTTTCTGGAGTGTGGTTTTCCTCAGGTCGCCTGTGTCAGACCTCATGCACCGTTTTCTTTTCTTGGCACTGCGGTTGAAACTGAGTTTGATCAACAGGAAGTAGAACAGGAAGTGTGGTTTGTTTCCTCTCAGCGCTGCTGATTAATGACCAGAACAAACAGCAGCTGCAGTAGCTGGTTCACGCTCGCTGCAGGCACCACATGGCACGTACTGCAACCAAAAACACAACATCTGCAACTAAACACAACATCTGCAAC